TAAGAACAACCCCTCCTGTGTACAAGTCTGACGGAAAACAATGCCTTGTTATTTATGAGGTCCCCCATGCGTGGGAAAGCTGCTGGTCATCTTCAGAACTGCTGTGGCCATGCACTGTCCAGAAGAAACTAGAATATGATTTGCATTTTCCCTTTTTATTCCCCTTTTTATTTATCTGGCAGGACTGATGTGATGAAAAATGATAGGAAAGCAAACAAACAATAGGAAGAAATACATTTTCCATTTTGCAGTTGTTCAACACAACTGCAGTGTTTATTAATGCAGCTCGGACCCGAACGCCCTGCTGAAACACCCCTGAAGTCTGTCTGACCTACAGACAATGTGGCAGCGTACTGTGGCGTTGGAGTTGATGTTTGGGGGAAAAGAGGTCCCGAAGGGCCAAGTTGTGATAGAAACGCTGAAGATCAGACTTGTACTGTTATGTTAACTTCGTATAGCACACCTAACAGTTATACGATGGTTATGAACTTTGAATGTAACACTGTAGGCATTTGGGATGGGGAATGATTTCTGTTCCTGCCCAGTTAGATAATTTCCTGAGTCCTTCTGTTCCCTTCTGAAGCTGAATTATTTTGTACAGCTGAAGAACAGTTTGAAGGTGTCTTTCATTCTTTTTTTCAGGGATGGCGGTTGAAGATACAGTAGCAGCAAAATTTGTTTATGACTCATGGTCAGCTGGTAACTAGAGAGAAGTCTACAATGCCAACGAGGCCAAGAAAATTGTTTGCACTTAGCTTCTTTCGATCTTTTGTTAACAAGAAAGGCACCGATCCTTTCTGAATGTGGCCCTTTTAGAACATACAAGAATGAAAAGTAAAATTCCAGCAATAGACTAATTCCTACAGTTTTCTAATGTCAAGTATTAGATACCTGCAGTATTACTAATAAATGTGTCTCATGTAAGGGCAAGTATTAGATGTTTGCAGTGATATTAACAAGGGTATTTTTACGTATTTTGGTATAATTCTGGAATCAATGCCTTTCCTCCCTGCTTATTTATGTAGCAGAAGTCTGTGGGTGTATTTTGTGGTTTTAGAGAGTTAATTCATACCAGAGTAAAATATATCAGTTCAGAGAATGGGCTCTGACATCATATCTACCTGTTGGGTGTCGGTGCTACGCTGGCAGTAACCTAGTCCTCAGTCTGTCCTGGAGCACAGCCCACCCCTGACTCCTGGACCCCCCCCTTCTCCTCCTGCTCAGACTGGGATCTGGAAGTCACCATGCCTACTTTCACCCCCCCCAATCCCCCTTCTCTGCCCTCAGACCCAATGGTTCTTCAGTAGAAGACTCAGATTGCAAAAAATGTCCATTTTAACTGGGAGGAAACTGTACTCAAAACCTTCCTTGGTACGTTCCTGGGTGGGATATTGCCACTTTCGTATTGCAAGGAGTCACCCAAAATGTGAGTACTAAAAGTGTGTTTTGACTCAACTTTTATCTATATTCTGTGGGGAGATTTTATAAATCTATGGCGTTTGTAAGTTCTCTTTCTGAGCTTCTTGAAGATTGGAACTGTGCAAGTTGATTTCAGTAGGATAAACTTCAAGTATACAGACAAGTATTTTCACCTTTGCTGTACTATGTATTGACTGGAATTGTTCTCTTATCCCAGTGGGTATTTGCTGGGGCAGGAATTTCCACGATCCTTTCTTGGCGGAGGAACCCAGTGATGTTCTACACAGGGAAAAGTTCCAGTTTTGTGCTGTTATGCAACTGCCTTACAAAAGACTGAGCATCTGCTGAAAAATAGGTGTTGCCCTGGAAACAAATTCCTGTCTCAGCCTAGAGCTGTGCCTTATGAAATTTTATTTCTACTTACGTACTAGTTCATGCAGGCTGTTCACTAAGTGTTTCTTCACTCTGTGGAAGATTTAGATGACGTGGTCATTCTATATTGATGCTAGACTACAGCAGAGCAACAGGAAGGAGGTTGAGAAGCAGTTAGCGTTAAAGCCCTTGATGATGCATAAGTAAGTATGGAACAGGTTAATGAGTATAGTGCAGGTGTGACATAAATAATTACAAGCCTGGTGTAAACTAGTTGGGGAAAAAGCAGTAAGTGATAGTCTGTAATTTGCAGATTTTTAGCATGGAAGGGGACCAGACCCGTAAGCGACTAGGGCCAAAGGATGTGTGTGTGTGGGTAAACATCTAACTCCACTGACCTGGCTTATATCAGCAGAAACAAGAACAGAAATTTCTCCATAAGCTTTTGCATTTTTTAATGGTAGCAAAATAACCCTTCTATTTCTATACGTGTTTTCTTCTGCGTCACTTCTGAAGTGTTCAGAAATGCGTGTGTTACCTTAGCCTCTTACTTCAGCAATGGAGAACCCCACTGCTGCGAAACAAACGTGACTACCGTCGATGTTCCAGAATTCAAGAACTGTATGGAAACCTGCACTTACTGTTTATGACAATATTATCCCAGTTCTGTGCCTGTGTAAAACAAGGTTTGTAATTTGAAGTGAGGCATGGTGTTTGGGAAGAAGACAAATACGGTTTATTTTCACGTGTACTCTTTACAGACTATGCGCTTTTAGAGTAGGTGGAACCAGTCCAAAAGCCTGGTTCTGAAAACCCGCAGTGTTCTCGGCTTTCGTTGGCAATAGGAGGTTCTGGGAGCCTGGCTCCAGCCTTGGACCTCTGAATTCATGAAGAGCATTGGATTCAATAACAATGGGAGTTGCTTGGATGCTGTCTCTAGATTTTTTTTGAGGGGAAATAATAGTCTTAATTTCCATGTTTCCTTCTCTTACAAATCAGAGCCTCAAGAAATTGTGTAACTTGCATTTATGTTAAAATTAAATAGATAATGCTGTCTGTCTTTGACTTTCATTACTTTTGGTTTGGGTTGTTTTGGGATTGGTTTTTGGTTTTGTGGGGCGGTTTTGGGATGGTTGGTTTGTTTTTGAAGATGAGGAAGAAAGTATTCAACTCATTGCACGATCACTCCCTTTATTTCCCCCTTTACATTTACACTGCTCTGCTCCACCACGATACTCAGTTTTGCAGTCGTCATCCCATGTTGCATGTTCCCTCCTCTTGATGTCTGTCCCGTGCAGGGTATTAAATCCTTAAGGAAGAAGAATCGTGTCCTTGGCAGTGGGCTGTCTTGGTTTTATGGTTTGCACGTGACACATAAAGTGTCTCTAACTGAACCGTGCTGTACAAATGTTGCTAAGGAGTCAGATCTGGGATTCACTAATTTAAATACTTCACATTATAAAAGAAACAAAGGGGTTGGTGAAGAAATTTGGAAAACAGCAAAACACATAAGTGGGGGAAAAAACTGAACTGTGAGTGTTCCTTTTTATTTTTTTTTCCCCTCATTGTTCCACATGGCCGCTTTAGACCAGCGGCCAATTTCCAGGACCACCCTGCAAGAAAAGGACTAGCACTATTGCACTTCTTTTTTTTTAAGGGTGTATGTATATATACATACCGGGTTTCTTATTCAGTCTCTAGATGCAATTCCTGAAGGATGAGGAACTCCTTCCCGTAGATCTTGTGCTGGATCTGCCAGCTCCACAGAGTTACATGCGGAGCAACTATGTAAGCATCCTTCCCTCCTTGCCCTGTTGAACACTTGGGAGTTTCTTAGCCGAAATGAGAACAGCCCAGCAGGTTAATAACACAGGGTCTGGGGGAAGCTGTCTGACTTAATTACTGTGCTAAGCACAGCGGTCATTTCAGGTTGTGCAGAACAGGGCTCGGATGTGACTGCTTCGTGGAAGAAAATATCAACCCGCTCAAGTACAGGAGTCCCGGGAAGAAAGAATGCGGTATAAAGTCCAGCCGAGAAAAGGAATTATAATACACAAATCAAAGTAACAAGAAGAAGATGTGGAAAGAGGGAAGCATGACAAAATAGATTATTAACTAGGATCGGTGTCCACAAATGCAGTATACCCCTAAAGAAAAATGATAGCTGGCTAACTGAAAGCTATAAAAAGAGATTTAAAGATAAAAGTCCTGCTAATAATTGTGACTCAAATTTGAGGTCTTAGGCAGGGCAAGGCTACTACAAGCATCTTATTAGGTTCACAAAACTCCACAGAAGTGATTAATTCATATCAGAGAGTGCTGTCTTCCTGAGAGAGATGAAGGGAACCCAGGAAATGCTGGCTGAGAAGAGTCCTGGTTTCTGGGACTTCACGTGGCAAATGCACCCTGTAGGAACCAAGCTGAGGATACACCAAACCAGATCAAATATGTTGAAAATAAAACCTCAGCTTCTTGTAGTTAAAAGTATTGCAGTCTTGGTGCCATTTAGGACATGATGGGTGCTGGCAACTGGCCAGTTTAATGAGATGAGAAAAGAATATACAACTCACACCGAACATCTCTTGGCAAGGTACTTCATGTATTTTTAAATTAATACCAATACAGAGGCAAACCACTTCACTGACAAGAACAGGAAACTTGCTGTTAATTAGCCTTATTTACGTTTGTTCAGAGGCTATTATCAGCCATAGCTGACATCAAGATTCAGAGGCATTTTCTAAGATATCGTCAGTTCCAGGAAGGGTGGTTTGTCACAATCTAACTCAAGCGAATGGAGAAACCTCAAAGCTCTCGAGCTTTGGGGTGCTCTTTGCATTGTGGTTTTGGAGAAGAAGGGAAGGGCTTTATTAAGGAACGTAGCGTGGCTGGTCTTCACTGATATTTAAAGTTACTCTGACGAGAAGAAATCCAATCCCCATAAACAGTTTAGGGAGAAGCAGGTTTGAATCTACAGCTTCTGAGTTTTTACTTTCATGTTCTTTCTTTTTGGCAGAATGTGCTTTAATTAATATCCCGTGCACCACAGCCATCTCTGCAGAGAGAAAAATCTTTTTCCTTGCTGTACTTTCTAAAGCAATTGGTAACCTCTCTGCCTTTTGCTTTAGCAGACATCTGAAAAGAATTGCATGCTCCTTAGAAAGAGGAAAAGAATGAATCAGTGTGCAGGTCACAGCAACAGGCACGTTAATTTATAAGGAAGTATCTACAGTCTTTCCAGGGTCCTTGAGTGCTTGTTTTCTTTTATTCACGGCGTTCAGGACTTTCTTTCTTGGCCCAAGCTCCATCTGAATGCTTTGTAGATCTTCATCAGAACATAGCATCAGGGCATCCAAATCAATTTTTTCCCTCATAAAGACTGGAAGAAACTCATCCAGCATCTGTGATGCCAGAAATACCTCAAGGGGCGTGGTCTCTGTTTCCTCCTCATCCCAAATGACTTCTTCCTCATGCCAAGGGATATCAGCACCATTTTCAGCATCATCTTCCCCGCCCTTCTCAGCATTTTCATACTGAAAGAGCTCACTGGACATTTTAAAGCTTATAACTTCTTGCTCAGAAGACACAGTTCCAGGATTTATATCTGCAGCCAAATTCCTTCCAAATACAATCTTGCCGAGACCTGGCCGCTTAAAAATGGAGACCTGACTGTCATTATCAGAAAAGTTTTTCTCTCCGAGGTCATTCAGTAATTCATCCTCCTCTTTCTCATCGAAAAAATGCATCACAGTTCTCCTACCCGTACCATTCTCTTGGTCATTGCTTTGTGTTTCCTGGCTTCTTGTGCTGTCAGCTGCCTTTTTTGCCCTCAGTTTGAAAGTATCTTTCAGATTTTTGGTGAAAGGACTTGTTGTATTTGAAGCAAAGAGACTAGGCAACTTTACTCGGGAGTGTGTCCCTCGGGAAGAATTTACTGTGTCAACCTTTTCTTTCATATAATTCCGGTTCATTTCATGCTGGTGTTTCTCTTGGCGCTTCTCGCATTCCTTGATTTGTTTCTCCACATTCTTCTGGGCCTGTGCTTTGAGTTTGGAGACCTTCTTTGGGTTCAACATGTTCTGCTCGGTGGCGGCTTTGTCCAGGATTTGGACACATTCATTGCGGTCTCTGCTGGCAGCCACCTCCAGGGGAGTGCGGAGGTCATTGTCCAGAGCAAATATATTGGCACCGAAGTTGATCAAAAAAGAAACGCAATGGATATGACCATTGCAAGCGGCGTGGTGGAGAGGAGTGTTCCCCCAGATGTCACATTTGTCCGGATCACCTCTGAGAAGGAAAACAGCACACAGTGAGCTGGACCTACCCAAGCATAGCTCTACAGTGGGATCAAACAGATACTAAATGTTAAGCTCAGCTTTGCTATGAGGAGTACAGCCCAAAGAAAATGAGTCAGCTTAGCTCCATCCTGTAGAACGGCGCTGCACCTACTTAGACGAGCACGGAGTTCGGCTCTGTGTGTGGCATAAGCTCTAATTCCTGCCTGTCTGCGGGCTCAGCTTCAACTAACACTCATTGGAATTAATCACAAAATTGTTTCAATAGCTTTTGGGTGGAATGTTTTAAAGGCCTTTTGGTGACTTCCCTTTTGCGTGTCAAATGCAGGGACAATATTAGGTGGATTTTTTACTGGCCACAGTGATACATATTTAATGAGCCCACGCAGTAACATTTTTGGTAGGTAATAGGTAAATGATGAGGAGTAAAGCCCTGATTACACATTTGTCTCCGTTGCTTTTAGATTAAGCTCAGATGCTGTTGTTTTTCTTCAGCTCTTTTGTTCTCCTTAAGCTGCTTTTGCTCATGGGGTTTGAAAAGCAGAAACTCATTCGAAAGTAAAATACCACATCTTTTCAATTTAAATTTAAAGCCAGTGAAAAATACTGCTTTCTTTTTAACTCTTGCACTGACTTCACACTCAACTGCTGCCCGCAGACAAGAATCGGCTTGAGTCTGTTAATTCATGTTTGGCAAGGTCAGCATTAGCAATGGTTCAGAACAGAGCTTGGGTCGCCTGTGACCAATAACCGAAGGAGGCACAGTAGCCCAAAGGCTTTAATAACTTCAGATCCAGGGGCCAAATTTACAAGGAGAACTTCTACTCTTGGGAGTTTAAGCATTTCAATGTTTTGGAGATTTGTTCCACGGCAGCTGTACTATGAATGAAACGGTACATCCTATCGCAAAACCTCCTTCGGGCATCGATCTCTGGCTTTGAGTATCTCTGGAGAAAAGCACTAACATATTTGTTGAGGGCCAAATCTGAAAACATCCTTCAGCCTGAAACGCCAAAGGCAAGAGAGAGGTCAGGGGCCCCGCGGAGCTGAGACACGGAGCTGAGAAACAATGGCAAGTCTGAGCACGCCAGGCTGCGAGAACGTGGGCATTTCTACAGGGAGGTGACAGCTGAGGATGAAAGTTTCTCCACTTGGACATGTGGAAACCATGTGTACGTATTTCTGCTGTTGTGGCTCTGCCCTGGGGAACTGCCTGACTGCAGCCAAGCGTGCCAGATTCCTCGATTCCCACATCAGCAACCAGGCTGCACTATCCTGCGCCTTGGGAGTGCCGGGTCATCCATCCTCCCCCGGGTCCCTCCAAGCTGTTTGTGGTCTCTTTTCCCCGTGGAGCCTGCCAGCCTTTGAGCCTCAAACAATCGACAAACTAGAGTTTCTGTTCCCAGCTCAGTGGGGCTTTGGATAAGGTTTGACGTCTACTTGGGGTTCTCATACTCCTCTTTTCCCTGCTTGCCCAAGAAAGAGGCTCACACAAAAGAGAGCAGATCTGCTACTTGGTCTTGCCTTTATTCGTGTACCTGCAAAGCAAGCAGAGAAAATGTCTCTTGATGCCTGGGAAGATAAACTATTTCAAGATGAAAGGGCTTTATTGTTAGTATTGCTACATTTTCCAAGGGCTGAGTGTGTTGCAAGCTTCACAGTCCTAAAATCTGCAATCACTCCAAAGAAAACCATCCTGTATCTCAGTGCCTTTGTCAGGAAACCTCTTCAAGGAAAGGATTAATTTGTTAAAAATAATTAAAGTACTTTCTCACAAGAAAACGTTAACTGACCGCAGAACAGACTGAATGTCTTCCAAAATTCAGCTTCTCCCAAGAAAACCGGTGAGACTGCAGCCTTGTCTCTGGCAGCCCCAGCTTGCTGATTGGGTCAAGAAATAAGGGATTAAAATAGAGGTGAATGCATATGTTTGAAGATTTAAGGGCAATACTGTCCCAAAGCTGTCCTCTACCAAGGAAAAGAGTTAGAAATACATTAAATAACAAATACATAGAAAGTCTGATCTTTGTGTCATCCTCTGTGACTTCTATTAGCTTATATGGTAGAAGACATATTTTTCACTCAATTTTTGAAAAAAAGTTATTTTCTTATTTGTTCCTTAGCTAGTTGTTCTGACTTTTAGGTGTTCAGGGACAAACCTTTATTGACTCCAGATATTTCCTTGGAGCTGCTTTAATTATACGAGTTGAAAAACTGTCAATCTATTTTTTGCTTCTCCTGGGGACACAGCAATAACCATGCAGTCCAAAGGTCTTTTTTATTGTGTTATTACAGCCACACCTGAGCTCAATGAGCTATAAGGCAAATCTATGAAAACTCAATTTTTATTCCATATTTTCAATTCTCTTTTTAATGAAAGAGAACTCAGATACATCCAAATAGCTATTCAACTTTCCCCTCCAATCTTCTTTAAACTATTATGATTGAAAATACAGGTCAACTTAATCTTCATCTCAGCCCAGAAAGAATATTTTATTAACTGTATCTCTACACAAGAGCAGATTTTCTTTTGTCAGATCTTATTACAGAATCACAGCTTAAAAGGCAGGCTCCAAGCAAGAGGGTACAGAGGGCGGGGAGGTAATAACCATTTCAATATTACATTTTAAGCATGTAGTACATTTAAATGGTACCAAACAGAAATATTGCTATTAGAAAATAAACCTGTGGAAAACCTTTCTTTTTTTTTTTTTCTTCTTTTTTTGTAGTTTCACAAATATTGTACCCCAGCTTCTGAAACAGTATTACCATTTTTACCATGGTGGTAGTTGCTAACACTATAAAAAGCAGAGAAATAGCAATTTTAGATGTTACTGTCTCAAAAACTATCGGTTGTGACTCGCCTCTGGAAAGCATTAAACCTTCCCAGGTGTCTACTAACTGCACTTTGGAAGCAAATGGGAGAGATTTTTTGCTAAAATGTTTCAAACAATGCATTTCTCTAGAGCCAGTTTCAAAGACACGTTATCACCAAAGGTTCTTGGCCAACTTCTCCTCCATTACAGCGAGGCGAGGTCCCAGGGCCCGGCTCCTTCTAACCGCTCCCCACAGACTCTGTGTACAAGACGGTCGATGCAGCTTCACCGACCGCACGTACAGACCTGCTCACAAGTTCTGGGCCATTGCAAATGAAGAGAAACAATTCTTGGTGATGCATTGAAAGAAATGACCATGATTTTCAGCCTTTGGGGTCTGAGGTCATCGGGGCATTAGAAAAATGACACACTAATTATAGTTTTAAGCCACTAGCTTTAAGTAATGGAGGCTGATTGACTTACCCCCTCCGACAGATGACTTCCAGAGCTTCCAGATAGCCATGGTATGCTGCCAGAAGGGTGGGCGTCATCCCATCTTCATCTGAAGTATTAAGGTCTTTCCTAGTGGCTTCTTTCAAGAGGTCCAAATTGCCATCGGCTGCTGCTTTGTGATACCTGCTGGACATTTTCAGTAACTTTTGGTTTCCCAAAGCAGCTCTGAACGATATCCAGACTGTGCAGTCACCCTTCCATTGCAGGGATAGTTCATTAATGATTACAAGTCGAGACGTCCCCATGGGGATGGAAATGAAGAGGCAAAGTTCATCCCAGCTGACAACTCATCTGGAGCTCTGCATAGGTAATAAGGCAATGGTGCGCTGAATGCTTTCATTTTCTGGGAGGTGGCTCTGCCATTTACCATTCGTTGCATGTTTGACTATTTAAATATACAGGGATTCATTCATTTCCGTGTCTTTGCCTAACTGTTCTGGGAAAACTTCAAAAGGACCTTGAACTTCAAAAAAAACCTTCAAAAACTTCAAAAACCCTTCTAAAGGCCATGAATATCAGTACAACCAGATTTCACCGACTAATAAAGTATCCCTGAGTTTTGATAGGATGAAATACATAAGCAGTTACCTTTACTGGTGATGTCCTTTGCAACCTATCATTTACTGGGTGGCTGCATTTAAAAACAAACTCTGCCCCACCAAACCATGAAGCTGTTTCATGTTCACAGACTGATGTGTGGATGGAAACAGGCTCGTCAGGACCAGGGAGGTGGTCGGATAAAACCGCCAGCAGGTCACAGCAGGCAAAACCACAGCCTAGCGTGTGATCCTTTTAACCGCAAGTTGCATTTCATCGGAGGATCTTAAGGCACTTGGCAAATAGAAATTAATCTAGCAGGTGTTGTAACCTCTGTTTTAGATGCAAAAACTGCGCAGGATTTCCTCAGGATAGCACAGGGAGTTCAAGAACTGGAGATGTGATGGGTCTGAACCCACTGCCCCAGCCTGGGCACCGCGCACCTCGCCTGGGAGCGGATGGGTCCAGTCCCCATCTCACATAACCGCTTCTCGCTTCAGAAATGATTTCCCCCGATTTCAGTGGCGTTAAGGGCTACCTCTATGAGTAGAAGCTCATAGAATTAGACCATAATTCTAATTTTTAGATTCAAAAGAATTACTAGGAGAAAACCATGGCTAAGGTGAGTTTTAAAACAGTAGCTGAGAAAAATCAGTAAGAGACTACTCACTGCTTAATAAAATGCCGCAGGCTATCTGTTATTCTGCTCACATTCACAACAGCTGCCAGATAAATGTTACTTTTTCACCAAGCTGTTTTCTATGACTATCTGAATTAACCTGTATCTTAGCGAATCTACCCTCAGCAATTAGCAGTGAGGTTTTGTCGCTTATTATGCCCCCATCACAGAAGCAGCAGCAATTGCAAACCAACTCATTGTCCAGAGTTGGTGCAATTACTGGCTGGAGTGCCACCTCATTTACTTTCCATAATGCCACCCATGGAACCCACCGGAGACCTCTCCAAATGGGCTTTCTCTCTCAATTATTTTCTCAGACTGGGATTGAAGAGCTCTTCAGGAGCAAACTGGTACCAACGTTTTCCTCCACGAGGACAAGGAGAGTCAGTCAGATCCCGTGACAGGTTTGAATCTTTGAATAAACGAGCCTAGGGAGGAGGAAAGCAAAGCCCTCGTTTCCCTTTGTGTCGTCCACAGACACGGCCATCCCCGGTGCCATCCTGCGTCTCAGGGCAATGAGGAAGGGCTGTGCTTCACCCGGGCCACCTCCAGCCCTGCAGAAGACAGTTTTACCCTCGGCCCTCTTTCAAGTTCCCTGCATCGCCATTAATACTCCTCTAATCAAAAATGCCGTCATTTATTCCATTTTCTGTTTAACCAGGCTGAGTTGAATTTACGGCTACTAGAAAAAAACCCTAGCTGTTTGTTGCAGAACAAAGACAGGTAATACAGATAGTTCTTTATGTATATATTAGATTAGCTCTTTCTTGATGCCATTGAATTTTATTTCCTCTACTGGGTAGCGTAAGCTTTTTTACTCTCCAGAGCGTAAAATGATCACCGAGGCACGTACTCCATGTACCACCAGTGCCTGGCAGAAGACAGAGACAGCATTTTCCTCGCACGTTGACATGGCGCATTTTTAGCTACGCCCATGAAAGTGAGTTGGTGGCAAAAGAGACCTTGTCATTTTTCAAGATTAAGATTTCAAGAAGTACATCCATTTGCTTTTCTGTTAATTAATTCAGCACACAAAGTGCTGATCCCAGCATGATTTTTATCATCTAACAGCTGAAAATAGTGATTTTAAAAGAAAGTTATTCTGTATGATGCTAAGTGGGAAATTATTGTTCCAAGTTTTAATTAGAGGTAAAGCAGAACCCATGTCAATTGGAGAGAAGCTCCGGGACTTTGCAAGCTTTATTATTATTTATGCCACAAAAGTGGGCATCACAAAAAAGAAAGAAAAAAGAAAAGACCAAACAAAATCTCCGTCTGTTTCTAAACTCATGGTATTTGTTCATCTTTGTCCCATTCAAAAACTTCAACTTAAAATGCGATAAATGATTCAACATCAAATGAGCTAAATTTCCTAGCCTGAATGGAGATTTTTCTTTTGAGACTAAAGCTCAAAATTGTGAACTTTTAAAACTCCCCGAGTAGTTAGAATGAAGCTTTTCTTTCAGGGTTTGAAAAGAACTTCAAAACCATTCCACTTCCAATTGAAATGTCTTACCAGGCTCAGGAGAAACTCTGTTGTGATGGTACGTGGTGATGTAAGCTAATGAATTATTTAACTACCAGTTTTGATTTGTTACTGGATTTTGCTATGTCCCTGATTGTTGCTCTATTTTTTTGAGAACTATCTTAAATTAGATATTAAAGTTATTAAGTTAAACAAACTATTTAGATTGAAAGACTACAGCATCATTAGTTACGTTGTTCTAGATAACTCAGAGCCCGGTCTGAACAGCGATGTTGTTGTGCCGTCTGTTTTGCACGCGGTATTATCCGGCACAACATTTCCTCACTGCGAGTTTTTAAAGCACGGAGCGAGGTACGGTAAAGGCCATAGGAGGGGAGGCGAGTCGGTCTCCGCTTGTCTAATGAGATCCTTGGAACTAATGGGCTTAGGGAAGAATGAAATTAGTCACACGGGGTAATTGTGGCTACACAATTCAGAGATGACGACAATGTTCAAACAACAATAAAAGCTTATTTCTTCACTCCTTAGAGAGGGAAAACTGCTGTGGCCAAGGACGCTGCTGCTGGATGTTCCCACAGCGAGGTGGAGCGTGACCCATGCCGCTGCTGCCCGAGACCCATCCTGGCATGATCTTTGTTCAGGAGAGACCATGCTCAAGCCGGGGGTCCGAGGGCAGCCCTCGCACTCTGCCTGCACACGTCATTCCAGGAGCCAGGCCCCAATCAGTAGGGAAATGTACGTAAAATGGAGAGGCAATAAAGGCAACCCTACCAAAGCCCCGTCTCTCCTCACCTGCACGTCTCGGCGCCCAGCCGTACTGGGCATAGAAAAGCAGACTGGGGGACTTTTGTAGGGCTAGAAGCAGTGACGTTATCTGTTGTGTCATAGTGACATTTGCAATAAGTGGTTTTGCTGCGAATGCTCAAAAGCGGGAGTCCTGACCTGGCATTTGGGCTCTTTGTGTTGCTAAAGCCTTTTCCTCGGTTTTGGTTCTTTTTTCCCCACGATACCGTCGAGGTGCTACAGAGCCGCAAGGAAAGCCATGCGGAGCCCGCTGGCGTCTCAAATGCCGGTCTGTAGCCAGCACAGGAGGGACAGGGACACCCAGAGCCCACGGGAAAGTGCATCTATGCCAAGGTGATCTGCGCTCTCCGGAGACGGTGTGCAACGCCCCAGTGCTCCGGGGTGTTCAGCATTGCTCTTGGGTGATGTTTTTTTCCCAAGAGTCAGAAAATCAAACAAGTAAAAGAGAAAAGCAGAGTATTGGAAGAGGAGACCTCGCAGGTTTTTGCAGCAGAAAAAAAAATAAACGAAAGCCATAGAGAAAGGTTTGTGTTTCAGGCCAGGAGTTAGCTGTTCACCTCAGGCCGTAGTTATTGTTACCGGCTCAACAACTTGGACAGGTGGAACTGAGGTTTTTGAAAGGAGGAATGGCTGTGCTTTCTCAGCAGCTTAAGCTGCAAATTCAGACACGTTAAGTGAAGCAACAACTAATTATTTTAGCGCATGCTGCTGAATTACATCCTACAAACCTACATACTCGAAGATTGATCCTAGGAGCTGCTGACTTGCACAGGGCAAACCCAGTTGTGGTGACTCTTGCTCTAGCTGTCAAATGTTGTCTGGCCCAACTTCACCTTTCAGCTCCACAAGCCACAACCTGTTACGAGGCGTTTGGGAGTTGCCAGACCCCGAGTTAACTCCAGCAGGCGAGGACAGGCTGTCCGTCTGTGAAGGGACCGTGCGTTGCCCCTGCCCGGACCTCCCCAGGTTTCCCCCACGCTAGCAGCGTCACTCCGGTGTGATGCCACATCCAGCTTTTACCAGCCAAACTCCGGGAACGTGATCCAGAGCTCCCTGGGACTTACAGCTTCTCCATCAACTTAGTGAAGCTGGGAATCAGGGGTGGGGAAATGACGAGTAAGTTTAACTTTACATCGGATTTCACTGCCAAAAAGTACCTCATTTGTGTGGCTCTGTAAAGGATGTGTACTTGAAACACATTTTTCCCCTACTGTGTTAGTTAAACCCAAGCTAAATAATAATAGATACATAACACAATAAACGTGTGCATGGCTTCAGAGTTTGTTTCACTAGTTTTCTGTATAATCATTGCTTTTGAGAACAATGGATCTCATTATAAAAAAAAAGAGAGAGAGAGAGGAAAAAAAGTTACACGATGTATGTTCCCAGGAGTCTCTGGGAAGGTAATTTCTTGCCAAAGGTTATCTGCATGCTCATCCCATTGATGGCAAAAGCCAAAGTGCAATTTCTTTTTGTGCTCCTAGCATCAGGTGCTATTTACTCCGGCGTGGTTATGGATCCGAGTACCTGCTTACCGCGGTGAGTGGCACCGTGCACGCTTGGTATTCCGACTTGCATAAGAGCTTTAACTCTGTGTTTCCCACGTTCCCACGAGGGTGAGAGTTAAA